CTCTTATCGCACGCTTGCTGTTGTGCCTGGCTTTAAGTGTCTGCTGCCAGGCAGGACAGGAGCCTTATCTTGGCTTGTCTAGATACTGCTGTTGTGATATTCTTGGTTTGCGCCTTGAATTTTTTTTTTTCTTTTAGACAGCCTTTTAAAAAACCCTTTTTCTTTTACTCCCACAATATTTACAAGTAGACTTGTTAAGTATTTTTGGAATTAAAAACTCATATTTTTGCGTCCAGGTTTTGTTGAGAGCAGGGATTTGCAAAAATTAGGTTTAAAGTTACATTTTAAAAATGTCTTTCCATCTCTGTATGCAGAGATTGTTACCTCATATTGAAACAATAATACATTTCATCTTTCACGATGCGCAAAATGCTTTTGGTTTTCTGTGTTGGTTGTGTCTCTGAGGTCTCAGAGTTTGGAGAGAGGCAGACTGAAAATCCTATCACTTGCATCTCCTTTCTCCACTGTGCCTCCTGTTCCTTCCTGCAGCTGACCTGAACTGATGTCTCCATCCTCCTCAGCAGTGAGAGTGAGGGAGTTGGGATGGCCATGAGCAGCCTCATGATAAACTCACAGTTCATTGTAAAGCTGTCCTTAAAAATAAAATACACCAGCTCAAATGCGATCTAATTCATCACTGTTTTAAAGGTTTTTTCTTGAAAAGCTTTTCCTTGGTGCTCTAGAGCATTTGTGCTGTGTCCAGACAAGCTGGTTTACAAGGCGGATCGGTAGCAATCTCTTATTTTTTACGTTATGTTCCTCATTACTTAACCTTTTCGTTTGTTTGAGGCTTGACAATGAACTCATCGCAGATGATGGTAAGCAACAGCCAAGTGAACACTCTCAAACTCTGCTCTTTACTTACAAGGGGAGTTTATCCTGTCATTTCTCTTTTTCCCTTTATCTAATGAACTTTTGCAGTGTACTTGCTTTTATTTTCTGCTGTCTGTACTCTACTTAAGGGTGATCTGGAGCAGGTATTGTTGCTTCCCTCCTTCCTCCTGTAAGCAGTAGTTGGAGGGAGGAGTGGGTCGCTGCTCTGTACTTGCCGTGGTGTCTGGAATGCCAAGGCTGTAAAAACAGGTTGGGTTTTCTGTAGCTGTGTCTAGTCCTAAAGCCATAGTAGGTGGCAAACTGGTTTTTGAAGCGTTGAGAGAACCTCTCCCATGAAGGCTGAGCACAGCTGACAATAACCGCATGGCTTGATGTCGTGGAGGGAGGAGGTGGTGTGCATCCACCTTAGAGGCAGTTTCCAAGTGAATTGTTCTTTCTTTTCCCTCTGTCTTCAGGGACTCTTCAGTGCAGTTCCTAAAAGTGAAAGCAGAGTCGACTGTAATGACTCACTGCCCATGATAAAGGCGTTTCCGGATACAGCTGCGCCTGTGCCCTGGAGAAGTAGGGTCCGCTTCTGTTACAGTGCTCTGTGAGCAAGTCCAACGCTTCCTGGGGCTTGGGGTGAGTCGATCGTAATCGCTTGGTTTTAATCATGCTTTTAGGTGTCCAACAGAAAAATCTAGGTTTCAATAATGAGTTTTAAACTTGACTTGTGTCTATTTTTGTTTCCTTAGGTAGTTTCTTACTCATTGCTAATCCCTAAAACGCAGCTTTTCCGTACTTGTTTTGAGGACAGGGTAGGTTTTAACATCTTAAGATGTTAAAGTTACAGAACAGCTTAACTAAATTCAGATTCTAAATCAGCAACACCCTAACAATGCAGTTTTACATTTTGGTAACAGAACTTACTAAAATAACCCTTAAGTGTTCTGGATTCATAAATATAGGCATATTTTTTTCTCTCCAAAGACACATTTTGCATTTAAGATAACTAGCTCTTTAAAAAACAAAAAACAACCAAGCACAGACCCCACCCCACCCCCCCCCCCCCCCCAACATTTTAAAGTCATTTGAACCAGTTGGGATCTTGCACAATTCTGTTTAAGATGTACACAGTCTGTATTGGTTCCCTCACATCCACTTTTTCCTTACTGCCTGAGAAGATAAGGGCTATATTGGCTGCTCAGATGGAAGGACTCCTGGTGTCCTACCTCCTGCTGCGGTCAAACTGCTTAGAGAATAAGGCAAGCATGTTGTGATGAGGAAACCCTTTTAATGATTTGTGGTTTAGGAATTCCTTGAACCAGAAGTCAAGAACTTGTATTTTTTTGCATTTAATATCACTTAAGGGATTTTTTTTTCCCCTTAGTTAGACTTCAGTTAATTTCTTAATACTGAACTTTTCACCACACTAAAATAAAATAGTGTACTTCAAACCTACAGAAGTGTCTGTGAGAGCTTGTTTGCAGTGCTTTTGCAGTGACAGCTGTACATCCAGAGACTGGCTCATATGACCAGGGTCTGGCTTCACAAATAATATTGTGATGATCTTGTCCCAAATGGCAGCCAGCAGTGACAAAGTTGCCAGTTGGCTCCGATGGTAGGAGCCCTTTCATATTTGAAAGGTGGCAACCGTCTTTGACTTTGTTTTAATTTTATGGTACTGTGTGTCTGCTATTAAATAGATTATTTAGTAATTGTAAAATAGTAATCACCTATTACAGGATATCCACCATAATTTCTAGTTTAAATGTTAAACTTGATTCCTAAAAGAGTAACACGAGTTTAGTCTTAAAAGTTACTTATTCTGGCATGCTTGAGGTGCTTAAGTAGTGGAATTATGTCTTTTGTAGGGCTCTATTTTAGCTGAGACTTTGTACAATATTTGATAGAAATATATACCTTATGGCTTAAAAAATAATTTGTAATGAGACAGGGTTTTGAATCCTTTTGGTCTTGCTAGCATTCTCAATTCAGTGATTCTGAGGGACTGTCCTACAATCCCAGTTACTAATCATAGAATCACAGAATCATTAAGGTTGGAAAAGACCTCAAGGATCATCAAGTCCAACCATCAACCCAACACCACCCAACCCACTAACCCATGTCCCAAAGCACCACATCGACACGTTTCCTGAACCCCTCCAGGGATGGTGACTCCACCACTGCCCTGGGCAGCTTGTTCCTGTATTTGTTCCAAACCATTTGAATCAAGAACAAAAGAATGACTGAGACAGTCTTGGTTCCCAAAAAGGAAATAGTGGGTTGATACTAGATTCAAACAAGCATGCAACCAGCACAGAAAACACCCCTTTCAAAATCCCAGTTATATTTATGGTGTCTGTAACTCCTGTTCATTTCAGGGTTGGTACTCAATGCTGCTTTGGGTGAGAATCTAGTTGATGTAGACATGTTCCAAAAAGATGTGTTTATGCGCAGGTGGACTAAACGCTCAATTCACTGTTAAATCTGTTGTTCGTTGAGCTAGCCAAAATGGTAAAGAACCAGTCTTACAGTTGTGGCTATTTTGGACAGTCTGTCTGGGAATGATACTGAATATTCCCAATGTTAAACAAGAACCTTCAATGTGCAGCCTTCACTTGGGTGGCTTGAGCAGTATGTCTCTATAAAGAGGAAAGAACAAATGAAACTGTTAATACTTACCACTGAAAGGGTAGCAGGGTGCTAGATTTAATGACAAAGTTATTCCTCTGCATCTAAAAACCCTGGAAGAAATGGGAAATAATAGGTAGTGTGAAAAGGAATAGTGTGTGGGCAGGAGCCATGTACCCAGTGAACTTCCTCCTCCTCCTCTTCCTCTCTCCCTCCCTGCAATAGACTTCAGGTACAAACCTTACATTTCCTAGGTGCTTTATCCACCAAGAGTGATTCCGTTTACTAAAATAGGAATTTTTCTGTTATTCGTTGTTCTGTTATTCAACAACGCTGACTGTTGGTTTGGGTTTGCTTTTTCAGACCTCCTTCTGGATGACCAATGTGTATTTAATTATATCGGAAGCGTAAGTCTCCAACTTCCCAGTCATTCCAGCTGGTAGCAACGCTTATAATGCAAAACCATCACAATTCAGGATTGCACAAACATTGCTCTTAAAACTTTCTAGATGATTGTAGTTGCTTTGGTTGTGTTCTATGCTAGCAGAAGCCTTTTTCAAGGTTTCCTGTTGACTCTAGAGCACCACATTCCCCATTTACTGGGAGCCTTGGGGGCTAGCAATATGGGGAACTCGTGTGTTTGCCGCGATGACAGTGGAGCAGAAGACAATGTGGAATCTCGGAGTCGGCAAACAGAGAACAGTAGAGTACATGTACCTGAAGCAAGAAGCCACCCAAGGGACCCTGTCCGTCCACCCAGGAGGGGTCGAGGGCCTCATGAACCAAGAAGGAAAAAACAGAATGTGGATGGGCTGGTACTTGACACACTGGCTGTAATTCGGACGTTAGTAGATAAGTAAGTACTTCCTCAAGGAATAATTCAACATGAATGAAAATGTTTTTTGTCTTCTCTCAAACTGTGACTCCATCCTCTCACCGATCTGCACCTGACCCTCCCTGAAGCAGCCGTGTGTTTCCATCTGGAGGCTTAGGAGAGGAGCACCTTTCCTAGGTAATAGAAGTAGCTCTGGAGTGCCCAGGTACAGATTCTTCCAGGAGCTAAGGAGTTTTCTCATGGTTCCTGTATGGGCCTACGCCCAGGTGGGATGAGGTGTGTGCTCAGTATTTCTTACCTGGCATAGATACACAGGTTAGGAAGCACTGAACACTCCAGAGTCTGGGAACTGCCATCCTAAAAATTGGTTGTTGTGCAAGATTTCTCTTTTCAGGCTGTACTTACTTCTTTGGAAATGGTTAAGCAAAACGGAAAGCTTTTGATCTTTGTTAGCTTGTGTAAACAGACTGAGGTTTTCTTTCCAGTTATAAGTCTGACTGCTTTTTAAAGACCGCATGTTGTGGCTGTTCAGCTCATGATCCCAGTATTGCATTCCTTGCATGCTCAAAGCATCCATTAAGGGTGTGGGGGATATTTATGGATTCGTCCTTATTTTTTTGGTTTTGCATTGCTTTCTGCAAAGCTTTAAAAGGACCTTAAGAACCATGGGTTGTTAGCTCATCAACTTTTGGGTTAGGTGCCGCCCAAAGGCCAAAGCAGAAGGAGCTTTGCAGCTGGAGCTTAAAGTGGATGAGGCTCAGGATATGTGAGCCTGGATTTCATATACCTGGAGGAGGAGTTTTCCTTTCTGCTGTAAAGTGCTTTAGATGGAAATACCAGGGCATATTTTTTCCTTGAAAATTTAAATCTAAGAAGTGTTGGGTTTTTTGTTTTTAACAGATTTCATTTTGTGGTCAGTCTTCAAATCATTGAGTTAAGCTCATGGCAAATTATGTGAAAGTCTTTCCC